TTAGTTGGTCTTTAATAAAAGATATTAAAAAGAAACTGGTCGTCAATCTTATTAAAAGCCCACAGAGACAACGTAACACATTTATGGTTATTTTAAAGGAAAATTAAATTAATAAATAATGCAGTTTAATAAGCACAGGAACTCACTGTTCAGTAGTACTTTCCGCTGATGTACGACATGTATCCTCTGTTGGATGGAAGTATGCTCATATGCAGGCCAGTATCATAACATTGTCGGCACTTGTACGGAACGGGGCGGTAGAATTTTTGTCTTGTTGTTAAAGTTCTTATAAGGCTTTCCTCAGCGACTAAGAAAAAAATTCAGTGTGTATTACTATAAGCATACGAGCACATGACATCCACGTGTGGCAATAAGGCGCAGTTTGCGTATAAGTAGAGCGTCATTAGATTTCTATAAAGACATTAAGGAAGCATTAAAGGTCACAAAGAAAAGCGATATCAACATCATAATGGGCGATTTTATTGCCAAAGTTGGTAGGGGTAGGAGAGTTAATAATTGAATTTTGTAATCACCACGATTTCGTCATATCCAATATGTGGTATCAACACCCACCAAGAAAATCGTATACATGGCGAGCACCAGGAGATCATCCAGGTCATATGATACGAAATCAAATTGATTACATCCTGGTAAACAAAAGATTCCGCAACTATATAAAAAGAGTGGCCGCTTACCATGGTGCGAACATTTCGTCTGACCACAACCCCCTAATCGCGAATGTAAGGCTTCGATTGGCAAAGGTTAAAAAGCCATCTAATAAAAAAATACATAAACACTAGAGAATTATTGAGAGATGAAGAGCATGAAGATATACAGTAAGCACATCAACGAGAACTTGAGAAGCATATAAGGAAATTGCGTAGAGGAAACCTATGAGAAAATAAAATTAGCTATAGTCGAGGCTGACGAAGTAGTCGCAAGTAAAATAAAAAGAAATCACAAAAACGAGTGGATGACGGATGTTTGAGAAAGTATGCGCCCATTCATTTTATATTTTTACAGGAAATATTTTTGCTGTTACGGTACTGTAATATGACCTAATTTGGGTGCTGTATTTCAATCTTTTAAAATATATTATTTCCTGTGAGTTCCTAAAATCAAACTGGCTCTCATTTATCATGTTAAAGTACACAGAATTGGGCTTTTTTTCTTTGTATTCTATGTCAGAAATACAAAGATCGAAACAAGTGGTTGATTTATGGCATGCCCGGCCTACGAGATATTGACCATCCAACCAGAGGGTGGTGGTGCGGGAGACGTTCTCTAACCCTCAAAAAATTGCCACTTCTTCGTCACGAGTGAACGAAAACACATTGACCGGTCTTGTGCTGTCTCGGCGATGCGACGTCCCTCGTCCCGGGCGTCGGTACCACCGGCCAACTCTACAGCTTGGTACGAATTCATTAATCGAATCAGAGGTGAGTCTATTCTTGTATAAAACATTGATAATGAGTAAACCAGTTTATTTCTAATTTATTTCTGCTTTCACAATTTATAATTGCTATTTTCACCAATTTTATGTATCAACAATATCACATTTTTTCGTTATAATTATTTATTCAATATAATTTAAACCAGCGACTTCTCAAGTTTAATCACTAAACAACGGAAGAGATACTTGATCTAATAGAGCAACGCAGACAGTACAAAATACATCAGAATCGACAGGAATACAAGGAAATCCAATGTACGATAAGGCCAAGAATTAAAAACGCAAAGAAAAGCTGGATGAAAGAACGTTGTGAAGAATTGAAATCACTACAAGAAAAGGGAGACAGCTTTGGACTACACAAAAAGACCAAAGAAATTTTGAGTAAAATTTATCCGACCCTCCTATTATTCGCGCCGAGGTGGAGCACGCTATAAAAGTAGTAAAGCTAAGCAAGGCTCCTGGACCGGATGGAATTACTACAGACACCATAAAACTGTTGGATGATAACATTGACATGCTGGTAACAATTTTCAATGCCATACATAACACCGGCCACATTCCAACGGATTGTCTTTATTCTACCTTTATTATGATCCCTAAATCACAAAGAGCGACAAAATGCAAAGACCACAGACTGATAAGTTTAATGAGCCATTTGCTTAAGGTGTTTCTTGGCATCCTTCGCACAAGAATGTTCAGAAAGCTGGAAGATCTAAGCGGTGAGACACCATTTGGTTTCAAGAGCGGATTGGGTACACGTGAAGCAGCTTTTTGCTTGAATATGCTTGTACAAAACTGCTTGGATCAACGAAAGGATATAGTCATAACATTCCTCGATTATGAAAAAGCGTTTGACATCGAAAAACATGACGCAATGATAAAAATGCTACACAACGCTAACATTGACGAGAAAGATATAAGAGTTATCCAGAATCTCTATTGGAATCAAAAAGCAGGAGTGAGACTGAACAAATCAAATAACATAAAATTTAATATTTCAAGTGGGGTGCAAAAAGGGTGTATTTTGTCTCTTATGCTCTTCAATCTCTATGTAAAAAACATTTTTGCAAAGGCACTGGAAGGCTCTGAGTGTGGAATAAAGGTAAACGGGTTCCCGATAAATAACATTCGTTACGCCGACGTCACCGCGATAATAATAGACCACGAACATGATATGCAGTTGATAAAATAAACACCGTAGGAAATATAAATTTCTCGAAGATAAATGCTAGAAAAACTGAATGCATGGCAATAAGAAAAAACGCACTTTTAAGAATACCGAGACAGAGATTGAAGTTGACATAGTTGCCAAAGTATAAAAAAATCCTGACTCCATTTTAAATCAAATATATGGAGGTCTCACAGATAACTTTATTGTTAGCTACAATTACACAAGGCGCTGAGGATGATCTGTTCAGATCGAGAACGTTATACTAGAACTTAAATTTTGACGACATTTTTAATAAAGTTTTAACTATTTGTTTTTTATACCACAATACAAGTGTGAAGTGTTTTAACTTCTGTGTATTTTTTTATATAAAATCCTATCGAACATCCTATTAAGTAGGCTGACACCGTTTATAGAAAATTTTATGGAACAATACCAAGCCGGCTTCAAAAAACATAGATCGACCATAGATCAGATCTTTAATCTAAGACAGCTGCTTGAAAAAGGATGGGAATTCAATAGAAATATCCATAATCTCTTCATAGATTTCCGGCAAGCGTACGATAGCATTAAAAGGGATCAGATGTGGAATTCAATGGCAGAACTTTCAGTTCCAAAAAAAGTACGGATAGGTAACAAACTCTCAGAATCTTTCAACATAAACACTGGCTTGAAACAAGGAGATGCGCTGTCATCTCTCCTTTTTAATATCATCCTGGAGAAAGTAGTAAGAGCAGCACAATTTAAAACAGAATTATTGACGGTAAATGGACCAAAATTACTACTAGCATACGAAGATGACATTGATCTTGTGGAAAACACAGTCACCAATGTGAAGGAGACTTTCAATAAATTGGAGCTAGAGGCAAAGAAAACTGGTTTAAGGGTAAACCAAGAGAAAACCAAATACATGTGCATCAACAGATAAAAGGGACGAGATAAAATAGGTCAAAATGTTACAATAGACCCATATAACTTTGAAAGTGTGGAGAGTTTTAAATATCTCGGAGCAACAATCACTGCAGATAACGATATCGTGGAAGAAACTAAGGGAAGAATTCAGGCAGTAAACAGATGTATGTACAAAAAGCCCAACACGAATATCAAAGATTAGAATATATAAAACGGTGAATAGACCGGTGCTCATATATGAGCGTGAGAAAGAAACTGAAAGAAAACATCGATGTTTTGAGATGAAAATCGTCAGAAGAATCTTTGGGCCTTATCACGACATTATTAGCAACTAATACCAAATGAGAACAAATGCTGAGGTCAAGCAGATGTATAGATCGAGCGACATAGTTTAGAGATTAAATCCCAACGTCTAAGATGGGCTAGCCATGTCCATAGACTTCCTAATAACCACCTTACCAAGTTAATATCGGAGAAAGCCTCCACAGGAAGAAGGCCCTTAGGACGTCCGCAAATGCGAAGGAGAGACAATATATGGTCAGATCTAAGAACAATGGAGCTACCCACTGACCCAACTATTATGGACGACCTTTCAAATGGAAGCAAGTTGTGCAGTCAGCCAAGACCCATCCCGGGTTGTAGTGCTACGAGTAGAAGAAGAAGAATTAGTATTATATAGACTTTGTAAGTGTTTCTGAATATACAATGTTTTAGTTATTCTTGAAAATAAAGGTTGTTTTGGCGAAATGCATTATCCATTATCTCCTTTATGGTTAGCCATAGACACATTGTATTTGGTAAAATATAGCATGTGCTTAAATTAATGATCTAATCCTTGTTAGGATTATCTTTAGATAGTATATCTAAAATTTGTCCAAAGTCGCCCAGGTCTCCTCTAATTGTTAATAGAAGATGTTCAATATGATAATTAACTACAGTACAATCAGTGTAGAACAAAACGGCTTTCAGAGAAAACAAACTACATCACTTTACGTAGTAATTTTCTATAATTTTTTTTCAATACTCATTGTGAAACATTACTACAGACACTTTCGTAGTAGTTGTATAATTAATGAAGCAACTCATTAAATATTACTCATTTTTGTTTGAATTTGACCTCTGCTCCCTTTGTTTTCATTTTTACAATTGAAATCGTATCGGGCATTCTCCGCCAGCTATGCATTTATCGACAATCAATTAATTACATATTGTCGGCGAATGAAATATGAGCAAGCAACATTCTAAATGCAATTTATCGAATTAATCAGCCAATCTAGTTACTAGAATGTGACTTTAAATAGAGATGCAAAATGTAAACAATGTGTGTCTTCTTTAAACATAATCTGACCTCGCTACTCTCAAAACGTGGATCAAGAAGTTCGAGTGATAGTAGGAGATTCTGATAAGAAGCCGGTTATTAAAAAATCATGACTAGCATGTCATACGGTCATTAACTAGCGATTTATCTTCAAGACAAGATCCGTTCTCAGAAGTGCAGTTTGTGCGGTTTCTGCTACAGTTATTTTTGTTAGTGATGGTGCTTCTTTTTACTGTGTAGAAAGCAAAAACATTTTCGTGAGTGGATTGATATTTGTGTAATGTTGGTAAGTACTGAAGAGTGTTAAAAAAGCATACAAAATTGGTCATGCTCTTCACAGCAATAATATCACATATTTAACTTCCAGATTAAATTTCTACATGGTCTGTTTAGTTATGGTGAAAAAATCAAATTTATTTTATCCAGTCTTAATTTAAACTATTCTACCTACTTCTTTTGCATTACGTATGTGAAATATAAATAAAATATAAAGAAGTATATTTTCTTTTTTAATTATCATTACTTCTTTTGCATATCTTCTTTGGGTGCGGTGTCAGTATTCAGACTTTGGCTGTCATCACGTGAACAATTTCTCTGCAACCTTTCTCTATCGGCTGCTGCGAGAAATAATTCTTCTAATGTCGTGTATTGTCCGTCTCCAGAGATCTCTGTCTCTGGTCATTTCTTTTAATTCATGCATAGGTCTTTGGCATATTCCTGTAATTTGATCTATCCATCTTGTTGGGGATCTTCCCCGTGATCTTCGGCCTTTTACCTTTCCTTGTATTATGAGTCTTTCCATGTTTTCTGTGTTTGCTCTCATAACATGCCCAAAGTATTTTAATTGTTGGAGATGGACTTTACTAGAGAGTCGTTGGCTAACTTTTAGCTCTCTTAAAATTGAATTATTTGTTCTGCGGTCGGTCCAAGGAATTCGTAACATTCGTCTCCAACAGAACATTTCAGTGGCGTCAATCTTTCTTCTCTCCGATTGTCTCAGAGTCCAAGTTTCACATCCGTAGGTCAGTATTGGGAATATTAAGCAGTTGATCAACCTCATCTTTATCGCTCTTGAAATTTGACAGTCCTTTCATATTTTGGTCATTTTTGCCGTGGCAACTTTTGCTAGATCAGATCTACGTTTAATCTCTTCTTGTAATGACCCTGTGTTTGTGATTAATGATCCCAGATATAAGTATGAGCTCACAACCTCGAACCGGTCAATTGTGGTTATGTGTGGATGGTTGTTGTGTAGTCTATCCACTATCATGATCTTTGTCTTTGATATGTTTAATTGCAGACCAAATATTTGACTTTCGTTTTCGATCAGTCGTATAAGTTCTATCAGCTCTGCTTGACTATTTGCAAGAAGGGCTGTGTCATCTGCGAAACGTAGGTTGTTTAGTTTATGACCATTTATTGAGATGCCCTTTTCCCATCCTTCAAGTGCTCTTCGCATAATATACTCCCCATATATGTTGAATAATTGTGGAGATAGTTATACATCCTTGTCTGACCCCCCGTTCTGGATGAAATTCGTTCGAAAGTGTGTCAAGTACTTTAACTGATCCAGTAGTGTGTTCATATAGTTCGGTTATAAGCGTAATTAGATGTTGTGGTACGTTGCGGTGAAAACATACCATTCTCTAATAATTACGCTTTTTCACTCCGCCTTTCCTTGTATTATATGACGAAGTAGATGGTATTTGAGTCCTTTAATTATATGGCCGAATTATACAAGTATGATATACAAATTTTTGATAATTCGGAGGTCTTAGTTATCAATTCCCACTTTTTGAAAAACAACTATCAGTTTGTCATCAGCGTATCAGTATTCTTAAAAAAAAAATTAGTACATGGCTGATCAGACTGATGCCATGATCACTACACTGTTTTTTAATAACATGTAAGATTTTTTACAATCTGTTTTACAATAAAAACAATAAGTAAAATTGATTGTCTTTTCAATGTCAGAGAAATGTAAGGTCCAGTGGTCAAAGCATTAGCTTTTTTACCATGTACAGATACGCGAACACGAATACTAAAAACGGCACAGATCACAGTGGCTGGGCGCTGTTGAAGGTGTAGCTTCCTTTATTGTAGGCACTGTTAGGAACGGTTTGGTAGGTCCAAGGTATCATACCGCTTTAATCTCTTCGCTTGTTGGTTGCGGAGAAGATTGTATACCAGGGTATTAGGATGCACGCGCAACCTGTTTTGATATTGTTTAAAATTCTTTTGCACTCTTCAGAGACCTGGAGATCTCTATGTAAGGCGTCACTCCTGGATATACCAAGGGGTATTAGCGATTGTTCTTAGAGTTTTAGATTGAAATCCTTGTATTTTCATAACATTAGATTTGCTGGCTGATCCCCAGAGCTGCTAACCATATGACCAAATTGGTTTTATTATAAAGTTGTATACCAGCAGCTTATTGTCGATCGATAGGTGTGAGTTTTTCCCAGCATCCAGTAAAGTTATTTGTATAAAATTCCTAGTTGTAGTCTTTTCGTCCATATATGTTTGGCCCATGTTAATCTTTTGTCGATATGAATGCCTAGATATTTTACGTCATTATTTTGCAGTAAAGGATATCCATCGAGATTAACTTGTGGACATATACCTCTTCTTAGAGTAAATGTAATGTGTGTGGACTTATTTTAATTCTCCAGAGTTTAAACCATTCACTAGTTTTGTTTAGATGTAGTTGTAGTATCTCTGATTACTGTAATACTATGAGATGTTAGGAAAGCAGTATCATCTGCATATGTTGCAAGCGTAAAGTTATTGCTTGTTGGTAAGTCTGTCGTCTCCGGGCGATAATTAATAAACAGAGGAAATTGTAATGCAACTTGGTGCTATAACCATGTTTACTAATATCTCTAACTATTGCGCAATATTGTGCAATATTGCGTAGTTAGCCGGAACGCTCTAATTTGGGCATTGTCTTGAAAAAGACAATGCTGGTGTGTTGCAGGTATTTGTGGAAATAAAACACACAATTTCTGAGTAGAAAAAAACTCAGCGTTAGAGTCTTTAGAACTTTTTAGAGCCCTTCAAAGTAAAGAGCCCTGGGGCTACCCTCTGGTAAAACCGCACTGACTGTAAATCCGAAAATGTCCCATATTTAAAGTAAAATTAACTTTTATATGAAACCTTTTCGATTTTTAACCAATTAAAATTTGAATAAAACTCCAGAAGGAAAGGCGATGAACATCGAGGTGCGTGATTAGTGGCACCTGATGACAAGTCAACCGTATATAACAGGTACTGAGCACTGAGCACTACCCTGAGGTACACCAGATTGGATCGGATGGAGTTTTGTGTGGGCTTCACTATAACTTACCAAATATCTTCTTTCTCTAAGGTATGATTTAAGCAGTTTAAAGTAAGTGTAACGCAGGTTTTTCTTTAATTTGTACAGAAGTCCTGTGTGCCATACCTTGTCAAAAGCTGGAGAGGCATCTAAAAGGCTGCAGTACAGTATTTCTTGATTTCAAAACTAGTTCTTAGTGTTGTGTATAATCTGTGAACTTATTTTATTGTAGTGTGTTGGTTACGAAATCCGAATTGATGGCCAGGTATAAGACCCTTTTTGTCCAATGTTGGTTTCATTTTTCTTAACAGATGTTTTCCAAAAAGCTTAGAAATGACTGCGAGTAAACTAATCGGTCGGAATGAGTTGACACCTTTTGGATCTTTACCAGGTGTTTGAATGAGTATAATCTGTGCCACTTTTCATTGCAAAGGAAAGTAGTGCGGACTTAACATAGCATTGAAGATTATTTTAATTATTTTGTAGCAATCATGGGTTAGTTCTTGAAGGACCTTACCTGTAATGAGATTTGTAGTTCCATTTGATATGGAGTATCAAGAAAAGAATGAAGTTGTTCTAGTTGTTCTACAGGCACTTCTCTGGTAAATGAACTAAATACTTTCAAAATATCTTCTGCGAATGTCTTGGATTTCTCTGTATCTGTTGCCCATTTACTTTTGGCATCTTTTAAAGGAGGTATGGCGTCTTGTGACCCTTTTAGTTTTCTTGTCGCTTTCCATGAAGAATAGTTTGTATCTTTGAATGATATCAAATTTTCTAGATAAGTGTGGATTCCCTTATTTTTTCTTCTTTTAACAGATTTTTAAGTCTTCTGGTGCTTCTGTTTAGGTTTGCTTTGTCAATAGGTGCGCGTGTATTTTGACACTTTCTCCTTAGTTTTCTTTTCTCTTCAATCAAGCTTTGTGCACTTAGAGAACAATTTATGCTTTCGTTCAATATTGTCTGTTCAGGAGTAGCACTCCATCCCGCTTTTGTATGGAAGTAGTAAGATATTGTACAGCATTTTCAATTTGTATTTCTGCTTTGAGTGGTAAGTTCATTGATATTTGTTCTGTAAGTGCACTTCAAAATATGTTCCAGTTTGTTTGCTTATTTGTTAGGATTGGAGGCTTAATTCTAAGTGTAATATAAAAAATAAAAATAAAATAAAAATAAAAACGTATATTGCCCTAATAATATCTGACATTCCAAAACTTATAAATTTTTGCCTTCTTTCATCATTTCATGTCGATCAGTTTATGGGTTTGTTTATGCATCCTCTGGATCCTGTTTTTCTCGAGGATGTCCCTGGTCTCATGGAGTCTTCTTGTATCCTGGTGGCAGAAGTACATGTTCCTGTTCTCGGCCACCTCCCTCAGTGGTGTGTACTGGAGCCTTTCTTTGATGGTTGCATTAGTTATTTTTTCTTCCCATGATGTTCGTTCGATGATCCGGTAACATGATGTTTCAGTGGCTTCAAGTTTCTTCCAGTGGGTCTCCGCTATTGAACTCTATACTGGGACTGCATACAACATCACCGACCTAACGTAGGCCTGGTACAACTGAATCTTCTTGGCCTTCGATAGGGGGCTGGACCTGAAAATATAAGGAAGTATTAGTTTTTTATATTTTTTTTATATTGGCTTTTACCTTAGTTTTTTGTGTATGCATCCCGAAGTTGAGTCTTCTGTCCAGGTGGACTCCTAGGTACTTGACTGAATCTGCTGCTTGGATCCTGTTTCCTCCTACTGTGATTCCGTAGTCTGGTGGTCTCGTATCCTGTGAAAAGACGATGAATTGTGTCTTCTCCGAGTTGATTTTTATCTTCCATTTTTCTGTAAACTCCGTAATTTTTCCTAGGTGGTTTTCCATGTTCCTGGTTATTTTTCTTTTATCTTTACCGGATGCATACACTGCAGTGTCATCCGCATATAGGGCCTGTTGAAGTTCGAGGATCTGTAGGGAGATCT